CGATACCCCTGAACACCAAGGAACCTTGGGTAGAAACAATGTGCTTTCATGGTACCACCGTTCTGATACCCGACCCCCATCGGGTTCGGCGACTTTGGCAACTAGTAACTTGCCCCCATTGACCGAGCCACTTCGGAACACTGTTGCCACAGTAAATGCTTGGGGAGGAGGGCACCGCTGAGCCACCACCGTCGCCCCCATACTTTTCCCCACAGCCGGGATAGTTTAGCGGGACAAACGCAGCACAAAATCAGCCATAGCACGGATTTCGTCTTATTCAGCTCCCGCAGCAAATCAATTTGATACATCTGAAGCATTGTGACCACATTCAATGACCGGGCCGCCACACCCTCAGCCTGGTACATTTTGTCCAGCTGATGCTCCAAGAACCGGCACTGTTTATGCGTAAGCACCGTGCTAGGACTAGCATCTGGAGCTAAATAACTAGTCGGCGGCGTGCAAACAAGCCCCGCCTCCTCCATACCCTCTACATTCATGAATGCCATAACCTGGTAGCACCAGCCTGGCTGAATGAGGGGAATCCCAGGTCGCCTTTAGCACATCGGCAAAATCTTTAAACAGGGGTAAGCGACACTTCACCGCTGCAGGGACAGGAGGTAAAAACCTTCCCCCAAACCTGGAGGAACTCCGCTGCAAAGGAGAAGACTGCCAATCCACCCCCAGCTGATCAGCCACCCTATGACACAGCTCCAACAAAGGCACATTAACCACCAATGGTTCACTCTCCCCCGCCGAATCCAAAGACGGGGCTTCAGGCTGCCCCAGACTGATGTCATCCAATTCACACTCCGAAAACACTCCAGAGCCAACCAGGGATAGTATATCATCCCCGAAATCCAGACTCTGAACACCGCCAGAGAAATCGGAATGAAACTCATTCGGCTGGGATGACACCCCTATCAACTCCGGCCATCAATGCTGCTCTCTGCCGGCCTCAGACAACCCCATTCCCGAGGTCGCCTCACCGGAAGAATCTTCGCCAGCAGCCTCAATCTTCCTCACAAAGTCAGCCTGATCAATGGACGTTGAACCCAGCCGGAGACAATGGTTACACAAACTGGTCCAAGCCAAGGCCTCCTCTCTCTCAGGTGAGACCATGGCCGTATCTGGAAAAATGTCCATATCCGTTACGATACTCATTTTGTCTGACTACTCGGCAAACCCCTATTACCTACCTCCCCTCTCTCTCAGGTGAGACCATGGCCAGTATGTCTCTACCTACCTCCCCTCTCTCTCTCTCTCAGGTGAGACCATGGCCAGTATGTCTCTACCTACCTCCCCTCTCTCTCAGGTGAGACCATGGCCAGTATGTCTCTACCTACCTCCCCTCTCTCTCTCTCTCAGGTGAGACCATGGCCAGTATGTCTCTACCTACCTCCCCTCTCTCTCTCTCTCTCTCTCTCTCAGGTGAGACCATGGCCAGTATGTCTCTACCTACCTCCCCTCTCTCTCTCTCTCAGGTGAGACCATGGCCAGTATGTCTCTACCTACCTCACCTCTCTCTCAGGTGAGACCATGGCCAGTATGTCTCTACCTACCTCCCCCCTCTCTCTCTCTCTCTCTCTCTCTCTCTCAGGTGAGACCATGGCCAGTATGTCTCTACCTACCTCCTCTCTCTCAGGTGAGACCATGGCCAGTATGTCTCTACCTACCTCCTCTCTCTCAGGTGAGACCATGGCCAGTATGTCTCTACCTACCTCCCCTCTCTCTCAGGTGAGACCATGTCCAGTATGTCTCTACCTACCTCCCCCCTCTCTCTCTCTCTCAGGTGAGACCATGGCCAGTATGTCTCTACCTACCTCCCCTCTCTCTCAGGTGAGACCATGGCCAGTATGTCTCTACCTACCTCCCCTCTCTCTCAGGTGAGACCATGGCCAGTGTGTCTCTACCTACCTCCCCCCTCTCTCTCTCTCTCTCTCTCAGTTGAGACCATGGCCAGTGTGTCTCTACCTACCTACCTCCTCTCTCTCTCTCTCTCTCTCAGGTGAGACCATGGCCAGTGTGTCTCTACCTACCTCCCCTCTCTCTCTCTCTCTCTCTCTCTCTCAGGTGAGACCATGGCCAGTGTGTCTCTACCTACCTACCTCCTCTCTCTCTCTCTCTCTCTCTCAGGTGAGACCATGGCCAGTATGTCTCTACCTACCTCCTCTCTCTCAGGTGAGACCATGGCCAGTATGTTACCAACAGTCAATTCATTGATGGTGAATTGATGGTTGAATTAATAAACGGTCCGTATGTTCTCACTATAATTTACTCATATTCCAACAATATGATGTTATCAAAATCAACGTTTTGTTTGGCATATGCACAGGATACAGTGGGCTGTATACGGGAATATGACATTGCATTTTGCCGTGTACTATTGAAGTAATAATTTGTTTGATGTTTTCCCGCACAGTGCCAACAACCCCCACAGACTCGGACTCGTCCCTCTTGTCCCATTACCAACCAAGCGAACGTTTCTCCAGGAACATCAGTGCAAAGGGCTAGGAAACTTTTGTTCATACAGAATGGCAGACATTACACTCGTTACAAGTATTTTTCCCTTTCCTGCTGAAACTTGAGAAATTAATATACAATTACATTGAGTTAGAATCAATACTATGAAAACCTGGTTTGGAAAGGCTATTGACACTTGCGCTAATAAGTGATTTCACTACATTTCGGTGATATGATTTGCTCCCATCATCATCAACACTGCCGGAGTAACAGAACCATGGATGCTGCATACTTGCTGAATGATTAAAAAAAACTGACCACATAAATCTCTTATGTAAAAATCCACGTTTTCATTTTAATTAAAACATTGAAAACTTTACCAAGTAAAAGTGACTCTTTTCAAAAACAAAATGAGACAATTACAACGACAACTGAACACTCGTAAAACTTAAATAAAACACACGTACAAGGCAGGACATCTACAGCAAGCTACCAGCTCTCAGGAAAAAAGCCTACAGCGTGCCGCAGTGGATCACAGAAGATGGCCAGTACTCACCACACACAGCAGCTTGGAATGACGACCCTGTTGCCAGGTCCCAAACCTCCAGGCCACAAACTGCTGTTATGTGCTGCTCCTGGTACCCACCTGTCACCCACTACTAGGAAGTCATCAGAGCTGGAATGACTGAATTGCATCCTAACGGCCCTGCTACAGAGAGGGGGGAGTGGGGGAGACATGACCACTAAATAAGTCAGTGTCACAACAGTGTCCTTGACATACATAGGATGTGGTGTTGTGCTATAACAAGTATAACATGAGTCATGCTAATGTACCATCCTATCACTTGATGGCCCATAGTTCACCAATATGTCATGCAGATGAGCCATTGTTTACTTGACTCACCCCGCTGGATATTCATTCTGGTGGGTAGTTCACACTAGGTAGGAATCAATGCTATATATAGGCAGGCAATGTGCTGAACAGGCAAACATAACTAACTATTATGGTCGATGACCAAGAAAATAATGATTGAATCACGAAGCATAACAAAAAATGCATACAGCATTTCTTCAGTGTTGGGGTTTGCACAACCCTCAATCACCAGTATCTCCCTGAGAAATTACAGTACATGTTTGGGTGATGTTACTGTACTGAATTTTATAGCTAGATGCATTTTTGGGGGTGGTCCTGGGCTGAAAATGCTGTCGACCACATAGCTAGCTAGCAGTATCATCTACAAACCAAACACAGTAATGTTATCATGTCAACAATCTGCATATCTAGCTTTAGCTAGCTAACATTAGCTAGTTGAAATAAAGGCATTGGGCATCTTGTGGGGTTTATGCAGTGTAGCTACATGACGTTATCATTAGATTCCTTTGAGTACAAAACAGTCCGAATACAGAAGATGATTGTTAGCTAGGTAAGTAGCTGTGTTAGCTAGCTTGTACATTGAACACAATAGGGTTAGAAGCTAATGTAGTCAGCAGGCTAAAAACGCAACCAAACACTTACCTACCAATCCATGTGAACAGTGGCCATTTCGGCATCATTCTTCCACCTTTCAAAATTAATTCCAATGTTTATCCGGTTTCTGGATTGGTCATGAGCAGTCTTTTTCTCGCTTCTTTTTCTCTTTTGGGGTCGAGTTGATTCAGATCCAAGAACCGAGAATGATGCTTGTTTCTTTTCTCCCTGCTATACAAGGACAGTTTATCTGCAAACAAGTTAGCTAGCTTGTTGGCTTCGTCTGCTCTGTGTTTGTGTCAGGCAGCTGTAACGTTACACACACGTTACACACAGGTGACACACACACACACACACACATATGAATGCAGTTATTTTACTGTACCTCCACTCTACCAGACCAGGTTCTGTTGTCCTGACTATGTCTCAGAGCATGCTGAGAAATTGAATGTGACTTCTGAGTGTGTCTTATTGCCTTGCTAAATAACTTTGAGTTTTATTTGTTCCTCTCTCTTTTCTTTTCTTCAAATAAATGCTGTGCAGTGATGTAGTTTGAAGTAATATTGTCGTTTTGGGGGGATGCCCTTGGCCTCTGACCTCTTAACAGAGTCTGCAGTGTGTAGAACTTAAGAGTAGTATTCCCGCTAGTCCTGTCCACAGGAAGACAGAAAGAGAAGGGAAGAAGAAAAGAAGATAACAGCCCATGCTGTCTGTTCAGAACAAGGTCTGTCCACATGCCAATCTTCTCTCTGAGATCTTCTCTCTCTCTCTCGCTGTCAGATCCCTGAGTGAACATTTACATGATGAAATGGACAGAGCTTCTACAGAAAACAGCTCATAGTAGTCCTTTTGGCCTTTCGATTTTTGCTGATCTGTAAGGTGGAAGTAATATTGTGGAAGTTCCACTGCTGCCCTGATTATACCTATCCAGACCCTTCAGAACTGAATACATTGAATGGTTGGGGCCAAAAGGAAAGGGTAGGGAGAGAATTGGGACCGGGCGTACTAGTAGTACTTCAGACCATGGTCCTCATCATGGTTTAGTGGTTGTTCACCTGAGCCAAGTAAAAGGTCAGAGGTCAAAGCTCCGAAATCTCCTCACCTGTACTCGTGCCTCTGTCAGGTCGGTCCTCAACGCCAGTTGTTCTCTGACATAGACATCAGGGTAGTGAGTCTTCTGAAACACCTTCTCCAACTCCTCCAACTGATACGAGGTGAAGGTAGTGCGGTTACGCCTCTTCTTCCCCTTGTTGCTTTCCGCAGCCTCGCTCCCCTTGTCCATGGGACTGGAGAGGTGGTCCAAGCCAGGGTCGGACTGACCCTGACCCTTGACCCCTGACCCTGGTTCCTTCAGGTTCAGATAGGAACCCTCTATCACAGGGGAGTCAGTGTTTAGGGTCAGCTCAGAGTCTTTGTCTTTAGCTGTAGGGGAGAGAGAGGAAATATGGGGGAGAGGAAAACAATATGAGAGGAAATTTGAGTTTTTCAAGGTCCATGATTTCCTGCATGAGTGTGATATGGTCTTGACAATAAACAAACAAATGTGGGAATGAATAAGCTGAAGGGTTATGGTCGAGGTCTAGGTAGAAGAACAGTGAGGTCTGTCAGACTCTGTTTGCATTTACTGGGTATGGCGTGCCCCTAAAACTGGGTCCTGTTCAGTCGGTCATACTTTAGCATAATGTTTTGAAACATTTGGAAAAAGAAAATGAGAGAGTAGATGCCCTCTAATGAGCAGGGTGCACGCGTGGAGAAATAGTCTCAGTGGGAAGAGTTATGTGGGTCAGAGTTGGTCAGATGACAGAATACTTAGCTAACCCTCTCCGTCACTGCTAAGTGTCTGCTACATGTATTGTTTCTTTTCCTAGCAGACCTCTGGCTAGTCATCCCTGTCTGCCATGATAACATTCATAACACCCCTGGTCCCTGGCGCTGGTCTGCACCTTGACTCAGATCAGCCCTCACCCAAATTCAAATCAGCACAAAATTGTCAAAACAGTGTAATAGAACAGCACAATTGACCTCATATCGCTGTAGTGGCCAACATGGCATCCTCTCGTTCTTTATTTCTTTTCTAAAGGCAGCCTGCCATTGTGCCCTTTAGAAAGGCAGCCCCATATCCTGATTGGCTCTGTGTGTCTCTCAGTTCCACAAGCTCTGAGATTTATACTCCTGGTAGGCTAAACTCGCCAAGTCCTCACCAACAAAACATATATTCTATTCCCAGTATTCCTGCCTGCTGTGTTGTCTGGCTCTGCTCCAACCTGTTTTGGAGAACAAAGCCTACACACTTTTTTCTGCTGGGAGCAGCCAAGATTCCATTGTCTTGTCTCCAATTTTGTGCGTCGACAGAAGTGTGTGTCTGCGTATGTGTGTACACGTGTGTGAGAGAGAAACAGAGAGAGAGAGAGAGGGGTAGGGATTAGTGTTGAATGGCGGGAATCCGCCATAAAAAAAACACTCCCTTTTCCCTGGATAAGTAATTGCGAGAAACCAGTAAATGTATAATAAATGTATATGAACAGCATGGAGTGAAATGGAACTGATAAATTATATGCAATGTCTAAATCTGGCTTCTCTACGGCCTCTGCATGATGAATCAACACTCAGGGTGGGGACAGACAGCCCATCTCAGTATGGAGCGCAGTTCACAATGCATGTGTAGACATGTCATCTCATCATGGTAACTTTTTTTCTTGTGACCGGTAGGCAGTGGCGATTTTAGCATGTAAATCTTGGTGGGGCAAACAAACAAAAAATTATTTGGGATGCATGCCAGCAAAGCCACTACACAACACAACACTAAACCATACATGAATTGCACTATAACGGTGCCCACAAACTGTTTGGGCCTAAAGCTGTCCCAACAGCAGAGTCCCAACAGCAGTCCCAACACCTTACCACTGCTACACCTGGCTATCAGCGGAGCCTTGTCTGGCAGTGAAACAGTTCATTCAGCCTCATTTACTGCCTTTTAAAAAAACATAGCTGATATGGCTGACTTGCTTAAACAAATGTGGTTTCTACTGACAATTGAGATGTACAAACAATGGCAAAAGGGGATAAGATGCAATCCGTAATTTCGATTAAGACATTAATGAGTGAGCTAAGACAGACGTAGTCAATATAACTATTTGTTCAGCACTTTTTAAATGTACAGCGACAGAATTCAGAACATGGGCCGTTCTTACAGTATTCTCCCTGTACACCAAGTCAGAACCGTAGGATAAATAAAGGGGGCATATAAGCAGACAATGAAAGCTCTTACAATATTATATTATTATATTTCTCTAAAACAGGTTATAGGCTACGTGTGCACCACCAAGTCAGAACAGTAGGCGAAATAAAGAGGGGAAAATAGACCAAATTATTAGGGTGAGGCACATGGGCTACTAACAGCTTACTACACAACATACACTTAGTATTACTTTCTTAGCTACAGTATACATATCTCCCTGGCATATTACATCATTTATGAAGCAGCATACAATACGTTTTTGGACTCACCTTGTGTTGTGGTCACTTGCACAGGAAAGTCTGGCATTCTCTGGATTTATGGTGCTTTCAAGATAACTGGGAACTCGGAAAAAAACAAGGTTGAATCATGATGACGTCAGTGATCTTCAGGTCGGAGCTCTAGAAAGAGGCCCGAGTTCCCGACATACAATTCCAAGTTGGATAACCGTTCAAAACGTATTTTCCTAGTCGGAGCTCGTTTTTTCAGAGTTCCCAGTTGTCTTGAACTCACTGAAGTCAAATTTCCCAGTTCCAAGTTAAGTTGTTTTGAGCACAGCAGAAATCATGCAGGATTGACAGCATGGCCAATGGTGAATGTTTATCATTTTAAGCTTGGAAAAGAGACCCTTAAACAAAGACTTGGGACCACAAACCCACTCCACTGAATAGCAGGCTAGTGATTGGTTTGCAATGCTTCCAGTTAGCCACTGATCCCTTCCAAACCACTCATTGTTGAATTTGCGATTTCCAACTTGTTGTGTAATGTTTATGTCCAATGGCTGATGAGCACTGATACGTTTTATCTATAATTTCTCTTCATTATTTCTCTTCATATGACAAGGATTAAAAAAGATTTGCCAGTAGATTGTCGACTTGATTCATGATGATGACTGCTAGCTAAGATTTTGAAAGTAGGATGTTGACATGATCGGTCCAATCAAAGCTACTGTAGATATAACGTGATTTGACGTCATTTTATCTGTGGCCAATGACCTTGAGCCTTCTTGGATGGGCACTTCTAATGTAACTCTATGGCAGCACCCAAGGGGCTTGAACTTTTGAGCTCTACCCTTAGATTTGGCGTTGACGTAGTGTCCCCATGAGTGACAGAACACTGAGCCAATCATGGCGCAACTAGAGAACATTACCAACTCCTACGCGTCATATTTTCCACTGGCTGCCTTACTCAAGAAAGCAAAAAATAGACCTTGTTTGTATGCAGCTTTATTAACTCAATGATTTTTTTAATGATTTTTTATTATTATTTGCAAACTGATATGTGACACGTATTAATGCCAAAATAACATGCAAAACAGGCACCCCCCCCAAAAAACGTTTTTATTATTTATTTTTTTGCAAATAAATGTGGGGCTCAAAACAGGTGGGGCTCTCACTTGCCTTGAATGACGGATTGCCACTGCAGGTAGGCCTACATTTGCTGCAGCATAGTCTATGCTACAGTAATATAGATACCGAATGCGCATCTAATTTACCCATCTCCATCTGGCTTTCGGGGATCACCTTGTTTTTTCATTGTAAATATTTTTTTATTTTGTATTGCAGCTGCAGAATTTTAAAACAGCCTATCACTCGAATATCGTTGCTTTAAATCAGTGCACACGCAAGCACTCTGTCTTTCTCTCTATCCATGAACTCCATTGAAATTGCATCTACAATAGATCATCCTGTTCTAGATTGAGATATAGCCCTATATATAGATGTCCTAGCTCTTTCAGGTAATACATTCAATGCAGTATTCACCTTATATTTAGCTAATTAGTTATGGGTTATGTACAATAAGCTTCTAACTTATAGCCTCTGTCTCTTGAGCAATACACAAGCGCCTGTGCGCAGCTGGCCTCTCCTTAAAAAACGCTTCTTAGCGCTTGGAGTCCCATGCTAGACTAAACTAGCTTGCTGGACATTTCTTATAGCAATAGACTATTCGAAGAGGGACGCAAGCTCTTTTTTGCTGAATGTTAAATACAGCAGCCAATAGAACTCACGGGTAGTTTGAAAGAAGAGCAAATGCGCGATGGCGGTAGGCTATAGCAGTTATTTATTCAGACCCTTAACCATTCAATCTTCGTGAAGAGAGGTGAAAGCCTTCTGCATCTAATTATAGTCCTATATTATTCAAGGATGTCATTAGAATGATGGACAGCTAAGTGAATTTCACTTAACTGTTGAAAGCGAGGAAGAAATTACGCAACAATAGAGAGAGAAAGAGGAGGTAGACTAATAACATTAAGGGAGATATTATGAAAGGTATATATGTGTCAGACTACTAATTATATAAATAGGCCCTACTGTATTTCAACATGTGCTGAACCAGAATCGTATGTTCTCTTCTGCTTTATCATGGAATGAATGATGTGCGTAATTCTAGTCCATATAATACAGTATAATACAATACACTACAGTAATACAGTTCACACTAAAAAAGATTAGCCTACTGGCTAGTTGTATTTATTTACCGAAGAGAGCATGTAGCTAGCTACATCTATGGGCTTTTATGTTTGTGCGTAATGTGCCTATATCATATACAGTGGGGAGAACAAGTATTTGATACACTGCCAATTTTGCAGGTTTTCCTACTTACAAAGCATGTAGAGGTCTGTCATTTTTATCATAGGTACACTTCAACTGTGAGAGACGGAATCTAAAACAAAAATCCAGAAAATCACATTGTATGATTTTTAAGTAATTAATTTGCATTTTATTGTATGACATAAGTATTTGATCACCTACCAACCAGTAAGAATTCCGGCTCTCACAGACCTGTTTTTTTCTTTAAGAAGCACTCCTGTTCTCCACTCATTACCTGTATTAACTGCACCTGTTTGAACTCGTTACCTGTATAAAAGACACCTGTACACACTCAATCAAACAGAATCCAACCTCTCCACAATGGCCAAGACCAGAGAGCTGTGTAAGGACATCAGGGATAGAATTGTAGACCTGCACAAGGCTGGGATGGGCTACAGGACAATAGGCAAGCAGCTTGGTGAGAAGGCAACAACTGTTGGCGCAATTATTTGAAAATGGAAGAAGTTCAAGATGACGGTCAATCACCCTCGGTCTGGGGCTCCATGCAAGATCTCACCTAGTGGGGCATCAATGATCATGAGGAAGGTGAGGGATCAGCCCAGAACTACACGGCAGGACATGGTCAATGACCTGAAGAGAGCTGGGACCACAGTCTCAAAGAAAACCATTAATAACACACTACGCAAGGTCCCCCTGCTCAAGCCAGTGCATGTCCAGGCCCGTCTGAAGTTTGCCAATGACCATCTGGATGATCCAGAAGAGGAATGGGAGAAGGTCATGTGGTCTGATGAGAGAAAAATATAGCTTTTTGGTCTAAACTCCACTCGCCGTGTTTGGAGGAAGAAGAAGGATGAGTACAACCCCAAGAACACCATCCCAACCGTGAAGCATGGAGGTGGAAACGTCATTCTTTGGGGATGCTTTTCTGCAAAGGGGACAGGACGACTGCACCGTATTGAGGGGAGGATGGATGGGGCCATGTATCGCGAGATCTTGGCCAACAACCTCCTTCCCTCAGTAAGAGCATTGAAGATGGGTTGTGGCTGGGTCTTCCAGCATGACAACGACCCGAAACACACAGCCAGGGCAACTAAGGAGTGGCTCCGTAAGAAGCATCTCAAGGTCCTGGAGTGGCCTAGCCAGTCTCCAGACTTGAACCCAATAGAAAATCTTTGGAGGGAGCTGAAAGTCCGTATTGCCCAGCGACAGCCCCGAAACCTGAAGGATCTGGAGAAGGTCTGTATGGAGGAGTGGGCCAAAATCCCTGCTGCAGTGTGTGCAAACCTGGTCAAGACCTACAGGAAACGTATGATCTCTGTAATTGCAAACAAAGGTTTCTGTACCAAATATTAAGTTCTGCTTTTCTGATGTATCAAATACTTATGTCATGCAATAAAATGCAAATTAATTACTTAAAAATCATACAATGTGATTTTCTGGATTTTTGTTTTAGATTCCGTCTCTCACAGTTGAAGTGTACATATGATAAAAATTACAGACCTCTACATGCTTTGTAAGTAGGAAAACCTGCAAAATCGGCAGTGTATCAAATACTTGTTCTCCCCACTGTATCTATTGGATAACGGCACAATCATTTGGGCTTTTTTGGGCTTGGGCTCCATTAAATGTCGTCAATGTAGGGCTCATAAAATGTCTCATCAGGCTCAGGTAGCATCAGGTTTGAATTTTCATGCTGATCAAAGCTCTAATAAAATCCAGACATGTATATGCTTTATAATGCTTTTGAATGACACTTCTGGTTTTGGCAGGAAATACCGGGTTACCCGGGAGAAAATGGATTTATTCTCCGGATGAAATATTTGTAAAATACTGGGAAAATATTCAACCCTAGTAGGGATAATGTCTCAATAGTTCTTCAAAATATTCCTCCCTCATACACGCATAAAATATAATAATAATAATAATATATATATTCAGTATTGTTCTTTTTCACTCTCCTAAGGTTTGTCTGTGGTAAGCAGCAGACCTCTTCAGTTAGTGAAGGTCGACCATTTAAACCCAGTCAAACCCAGAGAAAACATCAAAGTGAAATTTAACTGGCTGTAAAGTTAAAGTGCGCCCTCTCTGCTTTTATAGGATGGGATGGAAAGGGTCAACTCACGGCAAATAAAATAAACATTGTAAATTAGCAACCTGGGGAAGGGTTAATGACCAAACACTAAAGAAAGGGAAAATAGGCTTTTAAAAAGTGATAGAGGGAGACCCTTGAGCTCCTCCGATTCTCATCCTTTGTCTAAATTCAAGTGTTACATCTCATTCACTCCCACAGTGTTTATAATAAGTATTCACCCCCCCTTGGATTTATTCACTTCTTATTGTGTTACAAAGTAGAACTAAATGGATTGAATTGCCATTTTTTGTCAACGATCTACACAAAATAATCTGTAATGTCAAAGTGGAAGACATTTTTATTTTTTTATTTTTTTAAGATTCATGAAACACTAATATACCTTTAAGTATTCACCCCCTGAGTCAATACATCTTTGAAACACCTTTGGCACCTTGGAGTCTTCTTGGGTAAGTCTCTAAGAGCTTTGCACACCTTGATTGTGCAATATTTTCACATTATTCTTTTCAAAATTCAAGCTTTGTCAAGGTGTTGAGGATCACGGCTAGACAACAATTTTCAAGTCTTGCCATAGATTTTCAAGCAGATCTAAGCCAAAACTGTAACTTGGCAACTCAGGAACAATCATTGTCTTCTTGGTAAGGAACTCGTGTTGATTTGGCCTTGTGTTGTAGGTTATTGTCCGGCTGAAAGGTGAATTCCTCTCCCAGTGTTTGGTGTAATGCAGACTGAAGCAGGTTTTCCTCTAGGATTTTGCCTGTGCTTAGCCCCATCCCGTTTCCTTTTATCTTGAAAAACTCCCCAGTCTTTGCCGATGTCAAGCATACCCGTTATCATGATGCAGCCACTACCATGCTTGACAATAAGGCAGCAGTTACTCAGTGATATGTTGTGTTGGATTTGCCCAAAACATAAGGCTTTGCATTTAGGCCCAAAAGTGTATTCCTTTGGCGTGATGCATACAGGATGCATGTTTTGGAATATTTTTTATTCTGTTTATTTTTATTCTTCTTTTCACTCTGTTATTTAGGCCATTACTGTGGAGTCATTACAATGTTGTTGACCCATCCCTAGTTTGCTCCCATCACAGCCATTGAACTCTGTAGCTGCTTTAAAATCACCATTGGCTTCATGGAGACAGCAGTTTCATTTCTGTCCTGCAGCTCAGTTCAGAAGTACGACTGTCTTTGATGTGTCTGGGTGGTTTAATCCATCATCCACAGCATAATTATTAAATTATTATTAAACGCTTAAAGAGATATTCAATGTCTGATTTATTGTTACTCATCTACCAATCACTGCCCTTCTTTGAGGCTTTTGAAAAGGCTTTTGTAGTTTAATCTGTCTTTGAAATTCAAGACTTGACAGAGGTACCTTACAGATGTTGGACAGTATGTATGGGGGACAGAGGAAGGAGTAGTCATTCAAAAATCATGTCAACACCTATTATTCCAAACATAGTGAGTTCATGTAACATACAGTGCATTCGGAAATTATTCAGACCCCTTGACTTATTCCACATTTTGTTACGTTACAGCCTTATTTTAAAATGGATTCAATTGTGTTTTTTTCCTCATCAGTCTACACACAAAACCACATAATGACAAAACAAAAATAGGTTTTTATATATCTTTGCAAAAACGGAAATATAACATTTACATATGTATTCAGACCCTTTACTCATTACTTTGTTGAAGCACATTTGGCAGCGATTACAGCCTTGAGTCTTCTTGGGTATGACGCTACAAGCTTGGCACACCTGTATTTGGGGGGTTTCTCCCATTCTTCTCTGCAGATCCTCTCAAGCTCTGTCAGTTAGGATGGGGAGTGTCGCTGCACAGCTATTTTCATGTCTCTCCAGAGATGTTAGATCGGGTTCAAGTCCGGGCTCTGGCTGGGCCACTGAAGGACATTCAGAGACTTGTCCCGAAGCCACTCCTGCGTTGTCTTGGCTGTGTGCTTAGGGTCGTTGTCCTGTTGGAAGGTGGACCTTCACCACAGCAAGATGCTGCCACCCCCTGTTTCACCGTAGGGATGGTGCCAGGTTTCCTCCAGATGTGACGCTTGGCATTCAGGCCAAAGAGCTCAATCTTGATTTCATCAAAACAGAGAATCTTGTTTCTCATGGTCTGAGATTCCTTTAGGTGCCTTTTGGCAAACTCCAAGCGGGCTGTCATGTGCCTTTTACTGAGGAGTGGCTTCCGTCTGGCCACTCCACATCATAAAGGCCTGATTGGTGGAGTGCTGCAGAGATGGTTGTCCTTCTGGAAGGTTCTCCCATCTCCACTGAGGAACTCTGGAGCTCTGACAGAGTGACCATCAGTTTCTTGGTCACCTCCATGATCAAGGCCTTTCTCCCCCGATTGCTCCGTTTGGCTGGGCGGACAGCTCTAGAAAGAGTCTTGGTGGTTCCAAACTTCTTCCATTTAAGAATGATGGCGTCCACTGTGTTCTTGGGGACCTTCAATGCTGCAGACATTTTTTGGTAACCTTCTCTAGATCTGTGCCTTGACACAATCCTGTCTCTGAGCTCTACGGACAATTCCTTCGACCTCATGGCTTAGTTTTTGCTCTGACATGCACTATCAACTGTGGGGCCTTATATAGACAGGTGTGTGCCTTCCAAAATCATGTCCAATCAATTGAGTGTAGCACAGGTGGACTCAAATCAAGTTGTAGAAACATCTCAAGGATGATAAATAGAAACCGGATGCACCTGAGCTCAATTTCGAGTCTCACAGCAAAGGGTTTGAATACTTATGTAAATAAGGTATTTCTGTTTGTTATTTGTATTAATTTGCAAAACATTCTAAAAACCTGTTTTCATTTTGTCATTATGGGGTATTGTGTGTAGATTGATGAGGACATTTTTTTATTTAATCAATTTTCCAATAAGGCTGTAACGTAACAAAATCTGGAAAAGGTGAAGGGGTCTGAATACTTTCCGAATGCACTGTATTATTTGTTATGCCAAATTTTACTCCTGAACAAATTTAGACTTGCTTAAATAAAGGGAGTGAATACTTATGCAACAACTATATTTTAGTTAATTAATTTTGATTAATTTGTAAACATTTGTAGAATTTTCTTTTCACTTTGACATTATGGATTGTGTTGTGTAAATCAATGAAAAAATTCACAAATCATTTTCAATCCCACTTTGTAACGCAACAAAATGTGAAAAAATCCAAGGGGGGTGAATACTAATGATACCCACTGTATATGTAAACTGGTGATCAATAAGCCAGCAGGTGTGGTAAGCAGGCAGCCCAGTCTGTCTGTCTGTCTGTTCAGGTTCAGTTGTGTTCAGTACAGTGTTAGGGAGGCTTGTCTCCCAGATGTTTCTGAGGACTGAGTAGGGCTGGGCGATATGGCCAAAATATAATATCACAGTATTTAAAAGACAAATGGACAGTATGACGATATTTGACGGTATTTTATGTTTTTGAATAAATAAAAGGGACTTGGGTGTTCCCTCCATGGCTGTGGATGCCCCTCCAGCTACCTCTCCCTGTCCTAGTCAGTCAACTGCCTGGGCACAGCCTGGACCACCGCGGCCACCCTCTGCTGGGCCGTGCTCTCTGGATCAGAGCTCTGTCCCTTTGGCAGTTGTGGCCTGCACGCAGCCGGCGTCTCAGTAGCCCTCTTATCAGGTGAGTTCTGTGGCTCTGGCCTCACAATCTGCTTCGAGACACGGCAGAGGCCGGATAATTCCGGCGATTGTGATAGGGTGTTTGATGGTGAGACATATATCTGCACCTGGGGCAAAGACTTTGTGTTTTCCTGGGGCAAATGTTCAGGATATCACCAGGTTGCTTCCCAAGGCTGTGCGTCAGTCACCGGGGGCTGATACTGTCATGGTTCATGTGGGGTCAAATTAAATTATGAAGGGCAGCTCAGAACAGCTGAAGATGGATTTTAAAGAACTGATTGGGTCACGACTTGACACCAACAAACGCCCCATAATAATTGGGCCCTCTGCCCTCCCTAAATCGTGGCATTGAACAGTTCAGCAGACTTTTAGTCCATAACTGGCTACGAGACTATTGCAGCTCTGTGGGTGTAACATTTATTGACAATTTTGATACCTTCTGGAAACAAAGCTCGTATTATAAGGAGGATGGGATCCACCCAAATCATTTGGGTCCCTGGATTATTTCACAGCATTATAAGGCTGCGTTGAGACAATGACTTATCAACGACACAAGTCCAGCTCATTTAATCCCTACCATTGTGTCGCTGAGTTGTCATAATGCTTCAGCAAATGTACATTATCTTAGGGGCGTTGGAAGACAATTGAAGTAACCTAATTGATGTCCCTCTTACTGCCCTGAATGCCTCTACTGATCCTACAGCTATTGTATGCAGTAATCATATGCCTATGAAACATAGTTATACTGTTAGCACTGAGGTGGTGTGCCCTAGCAGGAAGTCCACTGTGTGCAGTTCACCCTGCACTAACATAAATGACTCGTGCATGTCTACCTCTGCTAAGCTTCCCAGTAAAGCAAGAAAAACAATCAAGCATCTCAGAAAAGTGTTAAAAATAGCCCACGTTAACATATATAGCTTAAGAAACAAGGTTCACGAAATCAATAATTTGCTAGTAACAGATGCCATTCACATTCTGACAATATCTGAAACTCACTTAGATAATACCTTTGTTGATACAGTGGTAGCAATACATGGTTATAAGATCTACAGAAAATACAGAAATGCCAAAGGAGGACGTGTGGCTGTTTTTAAAATTCAGAACCACATTCCTGTAAAGCTTACAGAGGATCTCATGTTAAATACTGTTGTAGTAATATGGTTAATCTGCCTCACCTAATGCCAATTCGGGTGGGAAGCTGCTATAGACCACCAAGTGATAACAGTCAGTATCTGGATAACGTGTGAAATGCTTGATAATGTATGTGATATCAATAGAGAGGTGTATTTTCTGGGTGATTTTAAATATTGACTGGCTTTCATCAGGCTGCCACCTCAAGAGAAAGCTTCAAACTGTAACTAGTGCCTGCAACCTGGTTCAGGTTATCAATCAACCTACCAGGGTAGTTACAAACAGCACAGGAATGAAATAATCAAGATGTATTGATCACATTCTTTACTAATGCTGCAGAAATATGTTTGAAAGCAGTATCCAAATCCATCGGAGGTAGTGATCACAATATAGTAGCCATATCTAGGAAAACCAAAGTTCCAAAGGCTGGGCCTAATATAGTGTATAAGAGGTCATACAATAAGTTTTGTAGTGATTCCTATGTTGTTGATGTAAAGAATATTTGTTGGTGTGTGGTGTGTAATGACGAGCAACCAGACGCTGCACTTGACACATTTTTGAAATTGCTTATCCCAGTTACTAATAAGCATGCACCCACTAAGAAAATGACTGTAAAAACTGTTAAATCCCTGTGGATTGATGAGGAATTTAAAAACTGTATGGTTGAGAAGGATGAGGCAAAATAAATGGCAAATAGGTCTGGCTGTACAACCGATTGGCAAACATACTGCAAATTAAGAAATCATGTGACTAAACTGAATAAAAAGAAGAAGAAACTACACAATGAAACAAAAATAAATGACATACAGATTGAAAGTAAAAAGCTTTGGAGCACCTTAAATGAAATTTTGGGCAAAAAGGCAAACTCCGCTCCATCATTCATTGAACCAGATGGATAATTCATCACAAAGCTCCACTGATATTGCCAACTACTTTAATGATTTTTTTCGTTGGCAAGATTAACAAATTTAGGCATGACATGCCAGCAACAAACTCTGACACTACACATTCAAGTATACAGAGCATTCTGAAAGTATTCAGACCCCTTGATTTTTTCCACATTTTGTTACATTACAGCCTTATTCTAAAATTGTTTAAAAAATAAAATATAAATCTCATCAATCTACACACAATACCCCATAATCACAAAGCGAAAACAGGTTTTTAGAATTTTTGCAAATGTATTCAAATTAAAAAACAGATACCTTATTTGCATACGTATTCAGACCCTTTGCTATGAGACTCGAAATTGAGCTCAAGTGCATCCTGTTTCCATTGATCATCCTTGAGATGTTTCTGCAAGTTGATTGGAGTCCACCTGTGGTAAATTTATTTGATTGGACATGATTTGGAAAGGTACACACCTATCTATATAAGGTCCAACAGTTGACAGTCCATGTCAGCTCAAAAAACAAACCATGAGGTCGAAGGAATTGTCCGTAGAGCTCCGAGACAGGATTGTGTCGAGGCACAGATCTAGGGAAGGGTTCCAAAAAATTTCTGCAGCATTGAAGGTCCCCAAGAACACAGTTCCCTCCATCATTCTTAAATGGAAGAAGTTTGGAACCACCAAAACTCTTTCTAGAGCTGTCCGCCCCGGCCAAACTGAGCAATCGGGGGAGAAGGGCCTTGATCATGGAGGTGACCAAGAACCTGATGGTCACTCTGACAGAGCTCCAGAGTTCCTCAGTGGAGATGGGAGAACCTTCCAGAAGAACAACCATCTCTGCAGCACTCCACCAAATCAGGCCTTTATGGTAGAGTGGCCATACGTAAGCCACTCCTCAGTAAAAGGCACATGACAGCCCACTTGGAGTTTGCCAAAAGGTACCTAAAGGACTCTCAGACCATGAGAAACAAGATTCTCTGTTTTGATGAAACCAAGATTGAACTCTTTGGCCTGAATGCCAAGCGTCACATCTGGAGGAATCCTGGACCTGGCACCATCCCTACGGTGAAACATGGTGGTGGCAGCATAATGCTGTTGGGATGTTTTTCAGCGGCAGGGACTAGGAGACTAGTCAGGATCGAGGGAGAGATGAAAGGAGCAAAGTACAGAGAGATCCTTGATGAAAACCTGCTCCAGAGCGCTCAGGACCTCAGACTGGGGCGAAGGTTCACCTTCCAAGAGGACAACGACCCTAAGCACACAGTCAGGACAACACAGGAGTGGCATCTCGACAAGTCTCTGAATGTCCTTGAGTGGCCGAGCCCGAGCCTGGACTTGAACCCGATCGAACATCTCTGGAGAGACCTGAAAATAGTTGCGCAGCGACGCTTCCCATCCAAACTGACAGAGCTTGAGAGGATCTGCAGAGAAGAATGAGAGAAACCCCCCAAATACAGGGGTGCCAAGCTTGTAGCGTCATACCCAAGAATACTTGAGGCTGTAATCACTGCCAAAGGTGCTTCAACAAAGTACTGAGTAAAGGGTCTGAATACTTATGTAAATTTCATTTTTTCATTTTTCTAAAAACCTGATTTGCTTTGTCATTATGTGGTATTGTGTGTAGATTAATGGGGGGGGGGGGGGGGGTATAATCAATTTTAGCATAAGGCTGTAACGTAACAAAATGTGGAAAAAGTCAACGGGTCTGAATACTTTCCAAATGCACTGTATCTGACCAAATTATGAAAGACAAGCATTGTAATTTTGAATTCCGTAAAGTAAGTTTGGAAGAGGTGAAAAAAGTATTGTTGTCTATCAACAATGACAAGCCACCAGGATCTGACAACTTGGATGGAAAATTACTGAGGATAATGGCGGACGATATTGCCACTCCTATTTGCCATATCTTCAATTTAAGCCTACTAGAAAGTGTGTGCCCTCAGGCCTGGAGGGAAGCAAAAGTAATTCCCCTACCTAAGATTAGTAAAGCCCCCTTTACTGGCTCAAATAACTGACCAATCAGCCTGTTACCAACCCATAGTAAACATTTGGAAAAATTGTGTTTGACCAGATACAATGCTATTTTACAGTAAACAACTTGACAACAGACTTTCAGCACGCTTATAGGGAAGGATATTCAACAAGCACAGCACTGATGATTGGCTGAGAGAAGGGTAGGTAACAACACATCTGCCACGCTGATCCTCAACACGGGGGCCCCTCTGGGGTGCGTGCTCAGTCCCCTCCTGTACTCCCTGTTCACTCATGACTGCATGGCCAGGCATGACTCCAACACCATCATTAAGTTTGCCTACGACACAACAGTGGTAGGCCTGATCACCAACAACGATGAGACAGCCTATAAGGAGGAGGTCAGAGACCTGGTCGTGTGGTGCCAGGATAACAACCTCTCCCTCAACGTGATCAAGACAAAGGAGATGATTGTGGACTACAGGAAAATAAAGTGGACTGCGCACGCCCCCATTCTCATCGACGAGGCTGTAGTGGAACAGGTTGAGAGCTTCAAGTTCCTTGGTGTCCACATCACCAACAAACTATCATGGTCCAAACACACCAAGACAGTCGTGAAGAGGGCACGACAAAGCCTATTCCCCCTCAGGAGACTCAAAAGATTTGGCATGGGTCCTCAGATCCTCAAAAAGTTCTACAGCTGCACCATCGAGAGCATCCTGACTGGTTGCATCACCGCCTGGTATGGCAACTGCTCGGCCTCCTACAGAGGGTAGTGCATCTCCTTGCTTCCACACATAGCCTACAAGCCATTTTAAAAAGTTGAATAAATCCATGTAATATAGCCTACACCTTCACAATAAATCCATTATTTATTTTAGACAGGTCTAAAGAAGCATGTCTATTTCAGAAGAAAATAATAGCATACTCTGAGTTGTCCTTATGTTAGGTCCTGATGTGGGTATGCCAGATGGCTGTGGGCTACACTAGTTCATTTAGCAGACAAGATTTGCTTATAATTCCATGGCATTATTTTATATTATTTCACAGTATGAAGAATACAACTTAACAAAGCTGAAAAAAATATACATATTTTCTCCAAACGATTTGAGGGAGTGCGCACATGCGGCTATTCTGTGTTGAGAGGTTAACAAAGAAATAGGTACTCCTATATGCTAAATTTAGAGTTATTCATGTAACTTTAGTTGTTCTACAAACGTTGGGCTATATCTTTTGATTTTTTATGCATCGTAAGGCTGCATGATGAGACTAATGATGATTTGAAAAAAGTATCTTAAGGCATGAGCTCTGCTTTGTTTTTTTTGCGCAGGCTGTACACACTCCAATAGTCTCTCATTCACAATTTGACAAGCACTTGATAATGCCTCGAATTTCACAATGGCATCTCCTTTGTGGCCGTAATGCACCCTAAAGAATCCATGCCTTTTGCGGCCCGGAATGCTGCGTTGTGCCCTTCTCCCTGAGTGTGCTGCGCAATCCGAAGGAGGGCACAAGCTCCAGAGGTGTCCGGCATGTCTGAATCCGGGATCCACAAGAGCAGAGGGACGGTCACGTGATCTTCCACCCCTTAGGCCAGGAGTGAGTATTCCATCTTCATCACTGTCTACTAGGCTCTTTTTGGTGTCCATTATGATTCACACCTGGATTCCATTACCTTCCTCATTACCTCCCTTTTATCTGTCCCTCCCTTACGTACAGTCCTCAGTCAGTATTGTTCCTGTGTTCAAGCTATATCGCCACGTTTGTTGTTTTATTAAACGTTGCACCTGCTTCTCGACTCACAGCGTCATTGTTACAGAGCTAATGTTCCATTAGCGGAAAACACCATTATCAAAAGTGACCGCAAATGCAATTATGCATGTAATGCTTTTATTAAAAAAGGTGCATTTTTATGGTGAAAATTATCTTCCCCAAACTTGAAACTCACGCACTGCTTATATATGCCAGTTAGGCTCTAAACCCCTTGTAAAGCGGATTAATGTGCTTAATTTTAAGAAGTTATTTGGCCACTTTAGTTGTGATACAAACCTTATTAAAACATATAGGCCTATGGGGTAGGCTACATGAGGTGTGCGACTATGATTAGAAAAAGTTGCAAAAAAAGGCATTGTTTCTTATGCTGGGCATTATTCACAAGTGATAATATATAATTCACAAGTGATAGGCTAATATTGTCACCCATCAGACTATTCTTGATTTAATATTGACTTTACATACAGTGAGGGAAAAAAGTATTTGATCCCCTGCTGATTTTGTACGTTTGCCTACTGACAAAGAAATTATCAATCTATAATTTTAATGGTAGGTTTATTTGAACAGTGAGAGACAACAAAAAATTCCAGAAAAACGCATGTCAAAAATGTTATAAATTGATTTGCATTTTAATGAGGGAAATAAGTATTTGACCCCCTCTCAATCAGAAAGATTTCTGGCTCCCAGGTGTCTTTTATACAGGTAACGAGCTGAGATTAGGGAGTGCTCCTAATCTCAGCTTGTTACCTGTATAAAAGACACCTGTCCACAGAAGCAATCAATCAATCAGATTCCAAACTCTCCACCATGGCCAAGACCAAAGAGCTCTCCAAGGATGTCAGGGACAAGATTGTAGACCTACAGAGGTCTGGAATGGGCTAAAAGACCATCGCCAAGCAGTTTGGTGAGAAGGTGACAATAGTTGGTGCGATTATTCGCAAATGGAAGAAACACAAAAGGACTGTCAATCTCCCTCAGCCTGGGACTCCATGCAAGATCGCACCTCGTGGAGTTGCAATGATCATGAGAACGGTGAGGAATCAGTCCAGAACTACATGGGAGGATCTTGCCAATGATCTCAAGGCAGCTAGGACCATAGTCACCAAGAAAACAATTGGTAACACACTACGCCGTGAAGGACTGAAATCCTGCAGCGCCCGCAAGGTCCCCCTGCTCAAGAAAGCACATATACAGGCCCGTCTGAAGTTTGCCAATGAACATCTGAATGATTCAGAGGAGAACTGGGTGAAAGTGTTGTGGTCAGATGAGACCAAAGTCGAGCTCTTTGGCATCAACTCAACTCGCCGTGTTTGGAGGAGGAGGAATGCTGCCTATGACCCCAAGAACACCATCCCCACCGTCAAACATGGAGGTGGAAACATTATGCTTTGCGGGTGTTTTTCTGCTAAGGGGACAGGACAACATCACCGCATCAAAAGGGACGATGGACGGCGCCATGTACCGTCAAATCTTGGGTGAGAACCTCCTTCAACCAGGGCATTGAAAATGGGTCGTGGATGGGTATTCCAGCATGACAATGACCCAAAACACACGGCCAAGGCAACAAAGGAGTGGCTCAAGAAGAAGCACATTAAGGTCCTGGAGTGGCCTAGCCAGTCTCCAGACCTTAATCCCATAGAAAATCTGTGGAGGGAGCTGAAGGTTCGAGTTGCCAAACGTCAGCCTCGAAAACTTAATGACTTGGAGAAGATCTGCAAAGAGGAGTGGGACAAAATCCCTCCTGAGATGTGTGCAAACCTGGTTGCCAACTACAAGAAACGTCTGACCTCTGTGATTGCCAACAAGGGTTTTGCCACCAAGTACTAAGTCATGTTTTGCAGAGGGGTCAAATACATATTTCCTCATTAAAATGCAAATCAATTTATAACATTTTTTACATGCGTTTTTCTGGATTTTTTTGTTGTTATTCTGTCTCTCACTGTTCAAATAAACCTACCATTAAAATTATAGACTGGTCATGTCTTTGTCAGTGGGCAAACGTACAAAATCAGCAGGGGATCTCACTGTATACTAAATAATATATGTGTGACATTTGTTTTGATTTAAAATGGACCATTATCATGCACCTGCATCAAAACAGGGGCAACGGGAAAAAATACATGTCATCTATGCACTTAAATAGCGAATGGAAGACGCTTTTCCCCGTGGTTTATTTTCATGCCAGCCAGGTAGGCTATACTCCTGTTGTAAATATAAGCAATGTGCTTAATATTAGGAAAGTTGAGAAATAAATATAGTAGGCCTAGCCTATAGAAAGCTGATGGGATCCTCCTCTTTTTTTTAACGGCCATCAATCTGTTTTCTCCCGGAATTGCATAGCCTATAGAAATGTTGCACAACATGAGCTCATGGGCTCTCATGAAGTGTTTGATTTTAGAAAACATTTGCATTGATGTCAGAGTGATTAGAGGGACAATAGAGTGCTGAGTACCAGGCAGTTAGTAAAGTTTGGTAGACTACTAATGACCATCAGCAGCATCAGAGCTTGGAGAAGCCTAATTACCGTGACGGTCTTGTGGAATTTGACTGCCTTCATGACTCGTGACCGTCGGTGTGGCGGTAATACGGTCACCGCAACAGCCCTAGCCTCTCCAACAAAATCCAGGTAGAATCAGCAATTACCCATGGCAGCTGTCTAGGCCCCTTAATTTTTTTCAATCTTTACTAATGACATGCCACTGGCTTTGCGTAAAGCCAGTGTGTCTATGTATACAGATGACTCAACACTATACACGTCAGCTACCACAGTGACTGAAAGGACTGCAACACTTAAAGAGCTGCAGTTAGTTTCAGAATGGCTGGCAAGGAATGTTAGTCCTAAATATTTCAAAAACGAAAAGCATTGTATTTGGGACAAGTCATTCACTAAACCCTAAACCTCAACTAAATCTTGTAATGAATAATGTGGAAATTGAGCAAGTTGAGGAGACTAAACTGCTTGGAGTAACCCTGGATTGTAAACTGTCATGGTCACAACATATTGATACAACAATAGCTAGGATGGGGAGAAGTCTGTCCATAATAAAGCGCTGCTCTGCATTCTTAACAGCACTATCAACAAGGCAGGTCCTACAGGCCCTAGTTTTGTCGCACCTGGACTACTGTTCAGTCGTGTGGTCAGGTGCCACAAAGAGCGAAAATTGCAATTGGCTCAGAACAGGGCAGAACGGCTGGTCCTTGGATGTACACAGAGAGCTAACATTAATAATATGCATGTCAATCTCTCCTGGCTCAAAGTGGAGGAGAGATTGGCTTCATCACTACTTGTATTTGAGAGAGGAATTGACATGTTGAATGCACCGAGCTGTCTGTTTGAACTACTGGCAGCTCACAGCTCTGACACCTATGCATACCCCACAAGTCATGCCACCAGAGGTCTCTTCACAGTCCCCAAGTCCAGAACAGACTATAGGAAGCGCACAGTACTACATAGAGCCATGACTACATGGAACTCTATTCCACATCAAGTAACTCATGCAAGCAGTAAAATTAGATTTTAAAAAACGGATAAAAATACACCTTATGGAACAGCGGGGACTGTGAAGCAACACAAACATAGGCACAGACACATGCATACAAACACACGCTAACATACGCACTATACACACAAGTACACATGGATTTTGGGTTGTAGATATGTGGTAGTACAGTAGGGGCCTGAGGGCAATCACTTAATATGTTGTGAAATCTGAATGTATTGTGATGTTTTTAAAAATGTATAACTGCCTGAAGCTCAATTGGTAGAGCATGGCGCTTGTAACGCCAGGGTAGTGGGTTCGATCCCCGGGACCACCCATACGTAAAAATGTATGCACACATGACTGTAAGTCGCTTTGGATAAAAGCGTCTGCTAAATGGCATATTATTATTATTTATTATTAATTTTGCTGGACCCCTGGAAGAGTAGCTGCTGCCTTGGTAACAGCAAATGGGGATCCATAATAAATACAAATACAAATTCAACTTCAACCCCAAAAATGTCTGCATTTTCATCAATTCTTTATGGCAAAGCACTTGGGTGAACTGTTGGAATCATGGAAGTAGAATGATTGTTCTATTCTATAGTTAACAAATAATAGTACAGTGTTGTTTGACATGACAATGAATGAAAAAGGCAGGGAGGCATTATTTTGACAGGGTAGGAACTAACATGTTGATAAGTGTTTCCTAGGGGACCCTATATTCTTTGGCTACATTTAATGTTTTCTCTTAGCTACTTCATGTAGCTAACATATTCTTACTTCGCATATTCCTCTTTGATTTAGAAGATACTGTTTCACCAACAACATGCTAATTTAGGCCCACACCATCACTGGTATTATCATGCTGTATGGCTAATTATGTTTGCTCTAACTCAGTACATTTATTAGCTAGCTAGCGATTAGCATTAGCGATTAGCATTAGCGATTAGCATTAGCGATCAGCATTAGCGGCTAACAATTAGTGTCTAACAATTAGTGGCTAACAAGATTTAGGCCCAACTTGCTTAGAAAAGACAAACTAGTTGTTTGCAGATGTAAGATACACAAACTAATAATGTAACTATAGAATGTTATCGGCCTATATATCGAATCTCCCATTCCTCTCAAATTTAGAAAAAGCTGTTGTGCAGCAACTCACTGCCTTCCTGAAGACAAATAATGTATACGAAACGCTGTCGGAAAGATATCAGTTAGTCTCTGTGGATGGATTGTCCTCTGACAAATCAATTGTAAGTTACGGTGTTCCTCAAGGTTCCGTTTTAGGACCACTATTGTTTTCATTATATATTTTACCTCTTGGTGATGTCATTCGGAAACACAATGTTAACTTTCATTGCTATGCGGACGACACACAGCTGTACAATTCGATGAAACATGGTGAAGCCCCAAAATTGCTTACCCTGGAAGCCTGTGTTTCAGACATATGGAAGTGGATGGCGGCAAATATTTTACTTTTAAACTTGGACAAAACAGAGATGCTAGTTCTAGGTCCCAAGAAACAAAGATATATTCTGTTGGATCTGACAATTAATCTTGATGGTTGTACAGTCGTCTCAAATAAAACTGTGAAGGACCTCTGCGTTACGCTGGACCCTGATCTCTCTTTTGACGAACATATCAAGAAAATTTCAAGGACAGCTTTTTCCATCTTCGTAACATTGCAAAAATCTGACACTGTTTGTCCAAAGATGACGCAGAAAAGCTAATCCATGCTTTTATCACATTTAGATTAGACTACTGCAATGCTCTACTCTCCGGCTACCTAGATAAAGCACTAAATAAACTTCAGGTAGTGCTAAACATAGCTGCTAGACTCTTGACTAGAATAAAAAAAAAATTATAATATTACTCCAGTGCTAGCCTCTGGTTTCCTGTTAAGGCTAGGGCTGATTTTCAAGGTTTCACTGCTAACCTACAAAGCATTACATGGGCTTGCTCCTACCTAGCTCTCCAATTTGGTCCTGCCATACATACCTACACATACACTACGGTCACAAGACGCAGGCCTCCTTATTGTCCCTAGAATTTCTAAGCAAACAGCTGGAGGCAGGGCTTTCTCCTATAGAGCTCAATTTTTATGGAATGGTCTGTCTATCCATATGAGAGACGCAGACTCGGTCTCGACCTTTAATCTTTACTGAAGACTTATCTCTTCAGTAGGTCCTATGATTGAGTGTAGTCTGGCCCAGGGGTGCGAAGGTGAATGGAAAGGCACTGGAGTGACGAACCGCCCTTGCGGTCTCTGCCTGGCCGGTTCCCGTCTCTCAATTGGGATTCTCTGCCTCTGAGCCTATTACGGGTATGTCACTGGCTTACTGACGTGATATTCCTGTCCGGTTTGTCGCCCCCTCGGGCTCGTGCAGTGGAGGAGATCTTCGTGGGCTATACTCAGCCTTGTCTCAGGGTAGTAGGTTGGTGGTCTGTTGATATCCCTCTGGTGGTGTGGGGGCTGTGCTTTGGCAAAGTGGGTGGGGTTATTTCCTGCCTGGTTGGCCCTGTCCGGGGGTATCGTCGGACAGAGCCACAGTGTTGATATTAAGAATCAAAGTGAAAACAGCATCATTGTCATCAACATTGTTGCATGTGCTGCATTGACCATGCAGACTGAATGCAAGTGTCTCGTGTTCAAGGAACAACAAATGTTCTTTCTTTCTGCAAGCGGCTCAATTCCCAGTGCAAACAGGAGGGGGGAGAGGGGACATCCCTGTCTTGTACCCTTTTCTAAAGCAATTTCATCAGATAATGTATTATTTGTGTATATTTTTGCTTTAGGACATTTATCCCTTTAGAACCAATAGCGGCCGTCAATGGCCTTTCTTTAAATGACTATAGCGGCCGTGAAGGGCCTTGTGTTTCTAACAATGTTTCAACTACGCAAAATGACCTTGCTAACAACCTGTTGTCATATTAGTGTGTCTGTTGTCATCAATCAGAAACCGGAAAACAGGGTATGCTGTCATTTGACTTTAAAAAAAAAAATCATTGAATTACTCAAAATGACGGCGCAAACACATCCACGACTATTCACTGTGGAAGAGGCTTTATCTATGTTGGTTGGTTATACGGATTCGGACACATCCTTGCACTTTGAAAGCGATGATGTTGAGGTGAGTGAAAGAAGTAAATAGCAGATATGTTTGGTGTTGTCAATGTTTGATTCTGTTAAATTTTGGGAATAGCTCTGATTATTAGCAAGTCCTGTCATGATCACTTGGTTGGTACAGCCGAGCACATCAGCAGTGGAGCAGGAGCTCGAATGATTGCTCTCTGTCTCATGGAAATAAATTAGTTGCAGTGTTTAGCTGTATATAGTCAGCTAACTAGTTGGTTGTTTTGTCTTGTTTCTACTGATGTAATTCATATGGAAATGGCCAAAGATGCTAGCTAGTCTGTCAGGCAAGAAAAGTTGTGTGTGGCAGTAAATTTGGGCTGTGCTTGCAAAGCGTCAACCACAGCTGTCACTTTAACTAGCTAGCCATTTGGACAACCTGCTAACTAGCCACCAAAATGAAGATTAGAGTAATTTGTGTTTATCTGTTGGGCTTAGGGCATGGTATGTCATGTTTTCTATGTACAGATATTCATAGGCTATACATTGCCTAGTTTTCCTATTATTTGACAGCTTAGCTGTCGTGTTAGGGTAGATGCCCCCACAGTGGCACTCATATGACATCTATGAACATATTCATTAACGTCTTTTTGTGTACTGTATCCTGACTGATTATCCATCAGACCGACATATACACTACCAGTCAAAAGTTTGGCCACACCTACTCATTCAAGGGTTTTTATTTATTTTTTCTATTTTTACATTGTAGAATAATATTGAAGACATCAAAACTATGAAATAACACATATGGAATCATGTATTAACCAAAAAAGTGTTAAACAAATCAAAATATATTTCATATTTGAGATTCTTCAAATAGCCACCCTTTACCTTGATGACAGCTTTGCACACTCGTGGCATTCTCTCACCCAGCTTCATGAGGTAGTCACCTGAAATGCATTTCAATTAACAGGTGTGCCTTGTTAAAAGTATATTTGTGGAATGTATTTCCTTCTTAATGCGTTTGAGCCAATCAGTTGTGTTGTGACAAGGTGGAGTGGTATACAGAAGATATCCCTATTTGGTAAAAGACCAAGTCCATATTATGGCAAGAACAGCTCAAATAGGCAAAGAGAAACGACAGTCCATCATTACTTTAAGACATGAAGGTCAGTCAATCCGGAAAATGTCAAGAACTTTGAAAGTTTCTTCAAGTGCAGTCGCAAAAACCATCAAGCGCTATGATGAAACTGTCTCTCATGGGGACCGCCACAGGAATGGAAGACCCAGAGTTACCTCTGCTGCAGAGGATAAGTTCATTAGAGTTATCAGCCTCAGAAATTGCAGCCCAAATATATGCTTCACCGAGTTCAAGTAACTGACACATCTCAACATCAAATGTTCAGAGGGGACTGTGTGAATCAGGCCTTCATGGTTGAATTGCTGCAAAGAAACCACTACTAAATGACAACAATAAGAAGAATAGACTTGCTTGGGCCAAGAAACACAAGCAATGGACATTAGACCGTTGGAAATGTGTCCTTTAGTCCAAATTTGAGATTTTTGGTTACAACTGCCGTGTCTTTGTGAGACGCGGTGTGGGTGAACGGATGATCGCGCATGTGTAGTTCCCACCGTAAAGCATGGAGGAGGAGGTGTTATGGTGTGGGAGTGCTTTGCTGGTGACACTGTCTGTGATTTATTTAGAATTCACTTAACCAGCATGGCTACCACAGCATTCTGCAGCGATACGCCATCCCATCTGGTTTGGGCTTAGTGGGACTATCATTTGTTTTCAACAGGACAATGACCCAACACACCTCCAGGCTGTAGAAAATAGTAAAAATAAAGAAAAACCCTTGAATGAGTAGGTGTGTCCAGGAGGAGGAGGAGGAGGAAGATGGTCAGGAGGAAGCAGAGGGAGAGGAGGAAGCAGTGGGAGAGTAAGAGGGAGAGCACACCCCTGAGGGGAACGTTTCCATGGAGTGTGTCTGCCCCAAGTCCCATCATTCATCCATATACCACACAGCCTTTTAAAAAGTGTTGGGAGTCCAATTCACTGAATTTTTGTCAAAGTAGGCTGCTATTTTCTTCGTTACAGAAGTACGAATATTTGTCAATGCAATTGCCTACTTTGTGTGGGTGCATTTAGATTTCTTTCTCTGGATTTTTTCTCTGAATCTTTCTCGATCTAATACTTGTTGCATTTACTGAATTGATGTACTATTTTTACATTTTGTGCCACTATGTAGGATAGGGCCATGCTTCAAGAAGTTTCATGGCATGTTGTAGGCTAAATGCAAACACTCAAGTGACAGTGTGACATGAATTTGTCCTACAAATCTTATAGGGAAATGGTGTACTTTTTAAAATTGTCTCTGAACAGTTTTTTTTTTATCTGTCTCTATCTAATACTTGCTGCATTCACTGAATTGTTGTCAAAGTAAGCTACTATTTCTACATTTTGTGTCAGGCCTTGCAAAATTATTCATCCCCCTTGGCATTTTTCCTATTTTGTTGCATTACAACCTGTAATTTAAATGGATTTTTATTTGGATTTCATGTAAATGGACATACACAAAATAGTCCAAATTGGTGAAGTGGAATGAAAAAAATTACTTGTTTAAAAAATTCTAAATAATAAATAACGGAAAAGTGGTGCGTGCATATGTATTCACCCCCTTTGCTATGAAGCACCTAAATAAGATCTGTTGCAACCAATTACCTTCAGAAGTCACATAATTAGTTAAATAAAGTCCACCTGTGTGCAATCTAAGTGTCACATGATCTCAGTGTATATATACACACCTGTTCTGAAAGGCCCCAGAGTCTGCAACACCACTAACCAAGAGGTGTTGGCAGACTCCCCAAACATATGGAAGAAGGTACTCTGGTCAGATGAGACTAAAATTGAGCTTTTTGGCCATCAAGGAAAACGCTATGTCTGGCGCAAACCCAACACCTCTCATCACCCCGAGAACACCATCCCCACAGTGAAGCATGGTGGTGGCAGCATCATGCTGTGGGAATGTTAGTCCCCTGTAGCTCAGTTGGTAGAGCATGGCGCATGCAACGCCAGGGTTGTGGGTTCGTTTCCCACGGGGGGCCAGTATGAAAATGTATGCACTCACTAACTGTAAGTCGTTCTGGATAAGAGCGTCTGCTAAATGACTAAAATGTAAATGTTTTAATAGGCAGGGACTGGGAAACTGGTCAGAATTGAAGGAATGATGTATGGCGCTAAATACAGGGAAATTCTTGAGGTAAACCTGTTTCCGTCTTCCAGAGATTTGAGACTGGGATGGAGGTTCACCTTCCAGGAGGACAATGACCCTAAGCATACTGCTAAAGCAACACTCAAGTGGTTTAAGGGGAAACATTTAAATGTGTTGGAATAGCCTGGTCAAAGCCCAGACCTCAATCCAATTGAGAATCTGTGGTATGACCCATTCAACTTGAAGGAGCTGGAGCAGTTTGTAAAGTCATTAAAACTTGTTTTTCATAACAACATCTCTGACAACATCTGAGGAATCTCCTCCAAGTCGCAGTTTTACAGTATGTAGGAGTAGATTTATAAAAACCTGTGGTGAGTCCCATCTTCATAACATTTAAAATTGGATCAGCTAAGATTTGTCGCAATTGTATACACGTCTAAAATACATCACCACAAATCGGGATCTTTTTTAAAACTGACATGACACCCAAATCTCCTCTAGGTCAGGACTCACAGTGCCTTAGTCCCTTGCAGACAGGGCATTGTGCTAGGTGTAAGCTACCATCAGCAGCACTGGTGCTCCATGTCTCAGCATTCATACACATGCCTAATGTGTAGTGTAGACTTTTCCCACAGCCGCTGCCAGACTACAGAATGTGGAGTGAGATTCATGTCATGTCATGTCATTATGACGAGGAGTCAGTTCTCTGCTGTCCAGATGTTCCACTTAGCCCTACATCGATCTCAGATACAGTGCACACCCTATTTCACAACTAGCTTAGTAACTTGTTATTGAAGATATTTTTGAAGATGCATAATGAAAATAATGGTGAGACACAATAGAGGACATGATATCTGAGTATTTGTTAGCCTTTTTCCAGACACAGCTGAAAACTACAACATTGGGTTCTGATCAAAAGTACAACACTTTATAGGGAATAGAGTGCCATTTGGGGCACAACAATCCACATCTGCCTTATATTTACGGGGTGGCTAGCTCTCCTGTTGTGCTGTATGGCCTGCATTCCTGCAGACTCCTGCCCTCTAAGCACTCTAATCAGTTCCACTGGTTATTTGATTTCAGTCATTGCTGTGGACTGTGGTCAGGTAGAGGTTTCTATAGATTGAGGATCCCAACCCCTACAACCTCCCCTGGCCCTGTTGTCCCATGCATTGCCTGAGGCACTAGCCTATAGCATGTATAGGACCAAGACTAAGGCACTAACAACCTCTCCCTCAACGTGATCAAGACAAAGGAGATGATTGTGGACTACAGGAAAAAGAGGACCGAGCACGCCCCCATTCTCATCGATGGGGCTGTAGTGGAGCATGTTGAGAGCTTCAAGTTCCTTGGTGTCCACATCACCAACAAACTAACATGGTCCAAACACACTAAGTCGTGAAAAGGGCACGACAAAGCCTATTCCCCCTCAGGAGACTGAAAAGATTTGGCATGGGTCATCAGATCCTCAAAAAATTATACAGCTGCACCAGAGAGCATCCTGACTGGTTGCATCACTGGTATGGCAACTGTTCAGCCTCCGACCGCAGGGCACTACAGAGGGTAGTGCGTACGGCCCAGTACATCACTGGGGCCAAGCTACCTGCCATCCAGGACCTCTATACCAGGCAGTGTCAGAGGAAGGCCCTAAAAATTGTCAAAGACTCCAGCCACCCTAGTCATAGACTGTTCTCTCTGCTACCGCACGGCAAGCGGTACCGGAGCGCCAAGTCTAGGTCCAAAAGACTTCTTAACAGCTTCTACCCCCAAGCCATAAGACTCCTGAACAGCTAATCAAATGGCTACCCGGACTATTTGCAGTCCCCACCCCCTCTTTTACGCTGCTGCTGCTTTCTGTTTATTATCTATGCATAGTCACTTTAACTCTACCTACATGTACATATTACCTCAATTACCTCGACTAACCTGTGCCCCCGCACCGGTACCCCCTGTATGTAGCCTCGCTACTGTTATTTTACTGCTGCTCTTTAATAATTTTTTAGTTATCTATTCTTTACTTCACACTTATTTTTCTTAAAACTGCATTGTTGGTTAAGGGCTTGTAAGTAAGAATTTCACTGTAAGGTCTACACCTGTTGTATTCGGCGCATGTGACAAATTCAATTTGATTTGATTGATTATAGCTGAGACGAGTTTGTAGCGTTAGCCTCGATAATGATGATAATGACTAGTATAAGAGTTGCAATATAGTTGATATGTTATGGTCAGTGCCGAAGGAAAGATAATGAATCGTCCAAAATATTCTGAAATATGTGAAAAGAGCACAGCCATTGAACAGCAGTAAAGATATGCAAGGTATGCAGTCGTTGTACAGTCGTTGAAGTTTAACAATTGTGGGAAAACAGAAAGGTTCTCATAAGCATGATGGCGGTGTGCGTATACTGTATGTATTTCAAGCTAGGTGTGAACATAACATGCACAGAGGGAATATACACTACATGACAAAAAAGTATGTGGACACCTGCTCGTCAAACATCTCATTCCAAAATCATGGCTATTAATATGGAGTTGGTCACCCCTTTGCTGCTATAACAGCCTCCACTCTTCTGGGAAGGCTTTCCACTAGATGATGGAACATTGCTGCGGGACTTGCTTCATTCAGCCACAAGAGCATTAGTGAGGTCGGGCACTGATGTTGGGCGAATAGGTCTGGCTCGCAGTCGGCATTCCAATTCATCCCAAACAGAGCATGTGAGCGGAGTTGAGAGGTTGGAAATCCTGCTCATCGCTCATGGAGCGCTCCATGTCTTTTCCAACCGCTCCACTAAAAACTGCTCCAATCATTAAAATCACAGTTTAACCAACACCCATCTATTTTTGTGATTACCTGGAGCTACCATTTGGTTTTGAAGCATTGAAACCAAACCAAATGGATATGAATGAAAAGTATTTGAATAAAGATGAAAAGGTGAATGTAAGAAGCGCACATCATTTCAAATAGGCTACATGTCATATTAAACAGCATTTAAACACTCTAAATTGGTCAGGAGCCAGACAGGGAGCTTAAGAAGGAACGAAAATGAATTATTTAGGCTACATTATTTCAATTATTTCAAGGCTATAGTCTACAAAGAAATACATTGTGAAGCATTTGTGAGTGTGACACAATAGGCTGGTAGGAAAATAAAGCGCTCAGCATTTAAACAACATTTTGTTGTATTAAATCATTATAGTCTATAAATTGCGCATATAGGCTGTGGCTTACTTTGAATTAAATTCAAATTAAACGAAAAATGACTTAGAATTCATTTTTAGAAACACGAGTTTGGCCAGTCTGTGGCTTCAGGCTCATGCGATGGTGCCTGGAGAGCAGGCCAGCAGCGGAGAATATCCTCTCCACGCTTGCAGAGCCACTGGGGATGCTAAACACCATTTTGACCACTCTTGCCAGGCTGGGCAGAGATGCAGAGTTGTTTTTTTATTTTATTCTAGGTAGGCCTCAGATTCCACAATGATTCTTTAGTTGTGGACACTACATCACCGCACTCCCTCTCTTGCTCTTGGTCCTCATCTTTGGTAGTCACCTTGATTTAGCACCTGTGTGTTCTATCAGTTTCGTTATGAAAATATTTAGCGAACTCCATGACAGTAGCTAAAGCAAGGGGCTATAGCAGCACACAAGTAGACTACAAATGCATGCTGGGCCGGGCATGCTCTGAGTTTGTGAAGAGAGCGCTACAGGAGCGAAATTGGAGCGGGCGAGAAGGCCGGAATCTCGCATGGGAATGGGAATCTCGCTCCAAACTCCAGTCAAATTGGGCACGCTCCGCTCCGCTCACATACTCTGATCCCAAAGTTGTTCGATGGGGTTGAGGTCAGGGCTCTGTGCAGGCCAGTCAAGTTCTTCCACACCGATCTCGACAAACCATTTCTGTATGGACCTCGCTTTGTGCATGGGGGCATTGTCATACTGAAACAGCAAAGGGCCTTCCCCAAACTGTTGCCACAAAGTTGGAAGCACAGAATTGTCTAGAATATATTTGTATGCTGTAGCATTAAATATTTCCCTTCACTGGAAGTAAGGGGCCTAGCCCGAACCATGAAAAACAGCCCCAGACCATTATTCCTCCTCCACCAAGTTTTACAGTTGGCACTATGTATTCGGGCAGGAAGCGTTCTCCTGGCATCCGCCAAACTCAGATTCGTCTGTTGGACTGCCAGATGGTGAAGCGTGATTCATCACTCCAGAGAACACGTTTCCACTGCTCCAAAGTCCAATGGCGGCGAGCTTTACACCACTCCAGCCGACGCTTGACATTGCACATGGTGATCTTAGACTTGTGTGCGGCTGCTTGGCCATGGAAACCCATTTCATGAAGCTCCCGACGAACAGTTCTTGTGCTGACGTTGCATCCAGAGGCAGTTTGGAACTCGGTAGTGAGTGTTACAACCGAGGACAGACGATTTTTACGTGCTACCCACTTCAGCACTAGGCCGTCTCGTTCTCTGAGCTTGTGTGGTCTACCACTTCGCGGCTGAGCCGATGTTGCTCCTAGACGTTTCCACTTCACAATAACACCACTTACAGTTGACTGGGGCAGCTCTAGCAGGGCAGAAATTTGATGAACTGACTTGTTGGAAAGGTGGCATCCTATGACGGTGCCACGTTGAAAGTCACTGAGCTCTTCAGTAAGGCCATTCTACTGACAATGTTTGTCTATGGAGATTGCATGGCTATGTGCTCAAATTTTCTACACCTGTCAGCAACGAGTGTGGCTGAAATAGCCGAATCCACTAATTTGAAGGGGTGTCCACATACTTTTGTATATGTAGTGTACCTTCACTGCCAAACATTCAACAGTCATTGTGTGTGTATGTGTGTGTCTGTGTCTGTTGTTGTGCTTTTTACTATAAAAGTGAACAACGTTATAGGTCTTATACAGTATACCTGTGTTTTGCAGAAATGTCAACTAGGGAGCTATGTCCATGGTCCCCAATCTACCATTTAAAAAAATATTAATAATAAGCTGGGTACAGTTGTGCTGTTGATGGAGAAAATACATTATAAAGTTGCGCAATGTCTCTGCTCCCTTGAGCACCAAGACCCCACAAGTGATAACAGAAGGCTGTTGACGCCAGAGGCTTTGGCTAGCTTCCCAACTCTATCCTCCCCAAAGCTATGATGCCTTCAGAGCAATCTGGCTGCAACATTTTACAGAATAACACTGCACAGCTTTCCTCCGGGGAGGCATATTGAATTTAATGATCGCAGTTGAAATGGATTTGCTCTGTCATTGGTCTTTGCAAAGTGTTTATGATGCAGGGGTGCACTACCTTGGGCTTTCTTCTTTGAGAAAGACGCATGTAAAATGTGTGTGATGACAATTTAAGCCGAAACAAAAGGCCTGACTCCTATTGTTTGCAGTC